CTACATGGGCACTATGGGAAGATGTCATCTTACCCAATTTAGAATGACTATCATAAAACAGACTAAAGGAAGGGCTGGAGAGTAGTTAAAAGCACTGCCTGCTCTTCCAGAAGACCAGGGTTTGATTCCCAGCATCCACATGGTGTCTCCCAACTGTCTCTAACACCCTCTGACAGTTGTGAGCTTCCCTATTCTGGCCTCCATTGGTACCAGGTACAAAAGTGGTGCACAGACATACATGCATGCAAGACACATAAAATAAAACATTTTAAAAATTAAAAAGAGTAAAGTAAGTCCTGGTGAGACAGAGAGAAAGGCAACTCTCATACACCAATATAAATTACTACAGATATTATGGAAAGTTCCTTAAAAAAAAAAAAAAAGCAGAAAAAGTATCTGATCTATCAACCCCACTACTGGGAGAGAACACATTTAAAGGAATTGAAATCAGAATGTCAAAGGGACACTTGCACTTGTATGTTATGGTAGCATTGTTCACAGCAGCCAAGATATGGAGCCAGCCTCGGTATCTATTGATGTACAAATAAGTGAAGACAGTGTGGCATGCATACCTGTCTTAGGGTTTCCATTGCTACAACAAAACACCATGGCCAAAGAGCAACTTGGGGAGGAAAGGATTTATTTGGTTTACACTTCCAGATCATAGTTCATCATTGGAGGAAGTCAGAATAGGAACTCAAGCAGGGCTGGAACCTAGAGGCAGGAACTGAGGCAGAGGCCATGGAGGAGTGCTGCAAACTGCCTGGCTTCCCCTGGGCTTGCTCAGCCCGCTTTGTTATAGAACCCAGGACCACTCAGGATGGCACCCCCACCACGGACTGGGCCCTCTCACTTTGATCACTAATTGAGAAAATGCCTCACAGCTGGGTCTCAATGGGGGCATTTCCTCAACGGGAGGCTACTTCTCTGATGACTCTAGCTTGTGTCAAGCTGACATACAAAACCAGCCAGTACAAAACACAATGGAATAGTAGAGAGCCATAAAGAGTATGACATTTTACCCTTTACAGTAACGTGGGTAGAATTGGGTATCATCACGGGAAGAAAAATAAGACAGGCACAGATAGACAAAGACCACACATCCTTATGTACACATGGCAGCTAGAAAGTTAATCTCAAAGTAGAAGGGTGCATGGGAGGGGCAAACGGAGAGATGGCAACTAATAGTACTGAGATGCAGTTGGGTAGGAGTGACTTTTTATGATTTACCTTGCATAGTGGAATAACTATAGTTGACAACAGTTAATGAAATACTTCAGAATACCTAGGGGAGAAACTGAGCATTCCCAACACACACAAAATGCTGTGTATCTGATAACAGATCTGCTAAACCCTGTGTGATGGTCAGTTTTGATTGTCAACTTGCTAGAATCATCTGAGGAGAGTCTCAGTGACAGACTGTCTAGATCAGATTGGCCTGTGGGGGATTGTATTGATGAAATGAATTGATATGGGAGTACCCAGCACACTGTAGACAGCACTGTTCTCTCAGGAGTGGGTCCTGGACTGTGTAAGAATGAACTGGAGGTAAACGTAAATATGCATGCATTCATTCTCTCTCTGCTTTCAACTGTTGATGTGACTAGCTGCTTCAAGTTCCTGCTGCCTCAACTTCCCCACAGGCAGTGGACTGTAACTTGGAATTATGAAGTAAAAGAAACGCTTTCTCCTCTAAGCTGTTTGCCAATATTTTACCACAGCAAGATACTAAGTTAAGGCATTCTATCTGTTCATTATCCATTGTTTACGTGAATACATGTACACATTGAAATGTCACACTGGACCTCATAAATATGTGTACCATGTACAAATACTAGCTGTCAATCAAGAAGAATATTAAAACATGATATAAATTAAATGTTAGAGAGTAGGAAAGAATCCCAATTCAAATTTGTATCTATTGTGACAAGTGCAGTTACAAACTGAACTTGACCAGAAAAAACAACTAGGTTATTTATATCTGGATAATTACCAGTTTTAAAACTTCTATTTGTTTTATTTCTATTCTCTTTTACAATTCTTTGGGGAGAAATAAAAATGATAAAAAAGTTTAGGTGCCTCAAGTCAGAATTGAACACAACTTCTTTTTCCTATTTAAAGTATTAGAAATACCCCTTCCCCACAGCTCCCCTTAAAGGAACAATGTTGGCCATGAATTAAAGAAAGTGAAGGGGCAGACATATTTTCACTTTCCCAAGTATTCTTTTTTTTTTTTTTTTTCCTGAGTCATGATTTCATGTCGCCCAAGCTGGCCTAAAACACTCTGTGTAACAAGTTCAAAGACAAATATGCCACCATGTATGGTTTGTGCAGTGCTGGGAATCAAACCCAGGACTTCATGCACACCAAGCAAGCACTCTACCAACTGAGCTACATCCCATGTACTTTAAAGAGGTTCCAAGTACCCTGTGCCTGTCACTTTTCCAATTCCTATCGCCTGCTGCTCTTCAAATCTATCATTCATAACTGTCTGATATACTATAGATATTCAATAATCACAGTATTAGGAGTGTGGTCGAAAATGGTATAAATTAGATCCACCACTCTCTCCTTAAAGCAGGAAAGTAGTCCAGGGGCTGTGCATCTACTTAGGTATATCTCAAAGAAGCAGGCTTCCTTGCCTTGGTTTATACTTCTTCGTACAGTCTTTTTCAAGGTCTCAAAATGACGGCCACATCTCCTGGTACTGTGTGCTAATCATGGTTCCAATCATGAAGTAGGGGAAAGTTGAAGGACACAGTTTTCTCCAGGACTTCCTTTACATCCAGGTTCTCTCTCGGAACTTTGGTTTATGCTTTATAGACTAGGACTTCGTTTCATTGCTACGCTCTGTCAAGGGGCCGGGGGATTTGCTTTTTGGCCTCTGTAGTGTATAAAAGGGAAGGAGAGATGCTTGGAGTAATGACTGAGTTTCTTAAAGCACTGGTCAAAACTATTTTTAATTGAACTACATTGTTTCATCTACACACTGTCCTGGCACATTCTTACCCACCATCCTCCTCTTCCTTCTTTTAGCTACTTTCATGGGGGTAGGTGGGGCTGTGGTCTGGAAGAAATTCTTGTTTTATCTCTTCCACAAGGGCACCAGTTTCTTCACTCCTACTGTGGTCCATAGTCTCTTCTGAGGGGGAGAGTCACCATCTTCTCTGCTCTTTCCCCACAAATATGTCTTTGCACAACCTGACATACTGATCCTTCCACCTCTGAATTCCAAGGCCAGCAACAAGGCCAGGCCCTCCAAGAAGACTTCACCACCCCTCCTTCCTTTCAGCCTGACACGGGAAGTACCTCTCTAATGCTGTTACTTTCTTCGTGGAATTTGGAACCAAATTATTCAAAGTGCTGCTGTTCGCGAAACCGGACGTTGCAGGTGCTCAAACTTGTATCGCTCGCTATTAATATCTTATCTCCTAGATCGGATTCAACTCGGTGATGACAGGTTCTGAATCTTAAGTCTGATTCATCCTTTCAACGCACACCAGGCCTGGCGAGGGCATTGCTCATAATGCTGCGCCCATGTAATAAGGGGCTGAGCAAACGAAGAGCTACAATGCCGGCACGCGAGATATTCCTTGAGCCTGAATGGCAGCCGACTTTCACAGAGAAGACCCCAACTCTTCCGCACTGTGAACAAGCAGAAGCCAGGTCGCCTCCTAAGCCGGCACCGCGATGAGGTAACTGCCCCGTCACTTCACTCCTCCTTCTCCACCGGAGTCCGAAAGGGAGGGGGTGGAGAGCCGCGCTTCGCGCGGACCTCTGGGACGGCTGCGCACGCGCAGCTTCCGGCTCCTGGCTTCGGGATTTATTTGACGCCGCCCGTTCGGTTCCCTCAGAAGTCTCGGGGGGGTCAGCCGCGCCGCGCAGGCGCAGTGGTCCCTTCGGCGGGGGAATTATTTGACGCCACCGCCCCTGGCAGTCGGAAGTTGCTTGAACGGAGCCCAGCCGGCCGGCCAAGAGACCGGTCTTCGTCGTCCCCGGAGCGCCCCGTGAGAGTCACCGACGGGTGGACGGACTGACCGCCGGAGGAGGGCCGGCCTGGGCGGTGGCAGCGCGGGCCCGATGGCGCGGGTCGCGTGAGGCGGCAGGCCGAGTGCGGCCCGCGGTGCGCCCGCCCAGCGATGCGGGCCCCGCCCGTCGCCTCAGGTACGCGGCGGCCGGCGCGGCCGGACCCTCCCCTCTCGCTGTGTGGTTTTTTTTCCCCCCACCCTGGGCGGCCACTGAGGCGGGGGCCCTCTCGCCCCGTGGTGGTGCTCCCGGAGCCGGGCCGTGGCCAGCTCATTTCTAGGTGCTGAAGCGGACGCACCGGGCGCGGGAGCGCAGTCTGCCGGGTGTGTGCGGACCCTGGAGGGTCGGACCGGCCGCGCGCGCCCCTGGCAGCCTGGGGACGGGGGGGCGGGTCAGGAGTGGCGGCGGCAACTCAGAGGAGGACGCGGTCCGCGGTGGGGCTGGTGGAGTCGCTGCCCCTCCGGGGAGGATGCTGCTGCCGGGGGGCACGGTGACGCTTGGGGGAGAGTAAACAGCCACCTTGAGCCAGCGCGTGCTGTCTGCCAGGCCCAGGCTAGACGGGGAACTTCACTGCCCTGCACGGCAGGACTGTTACCCCATTCTACCGACCAGGCAACCGAGGCCCGGAGCGATCGGGCGCCTTCGGTGCCCAAGGTCATAGAGCTGGGTAATTGGAACTCAAGTAGCCTTGACAGTCCAGTCCAGGTTCTTAACAATTAGGTCATAGGATCTCCAACTTTGATGCACGGTAAAATCACTTTGGGGAGTTTTGAAAAGACTCCAAGTACCACAGCACCCCAAACTAGTTAAACCACCATGCCTAGAGGGCAGGTGGGGGAGCCAAATGCCAGTATCTTTCTGGAGATCCCCTAGTGGTTCTGGGGTGTTGTAAGGTTTGGCAACTGTGAATGTAGGTAATCTTCATCCCAGAGGTCCGTGAGTGTCTCTCCAGTTTAGGTGTGCAGGAGGATGCTTGTTAAAAGTGCGGGTTCCATTGGTAGAGATTCATATTGTCACTCCCCTCCCCCCAGCGTGCCTTCGTTCTGTTGCTGGAATTCTCTGTTTCTCTGCCTCAGCCTCCCGAGTGCTAAGATAGTAGCTGTATGCCACGCGAGAGCTGGTCCTTAGGTCCATTGACTACCACCCCTTTGGTAGGTTGGGCCTCCTTGAGGGTGAGAAGTAATTATGAATTCTTAGTCAGCTGAGCTTTTAAAAAAATGTGTAAGTCTCCTGCAAAAACTTTTGGTTTGCAATTTTCCTTAATATACAGTACTCGAGGTTATGGTTTCTCTTGCCTCTGAGCTTTTGCGTATACTGGTTTTTCTCCATGACAATCCTTCATGCTTTCTCAGCACTCTATCCAAGCACATACACTTCTTTCTCTCTTACACATAATCATTTCTGTCTGCTGCCTAGCTCTCAACATTCCCTTCAAGATGCCTTCTGGCCCTCCCCTTGCCCCTGCCTACCTTCATTTCTCCTATCAGCCTTTGGTACTATCATAGTGTAGCTTACCATGGATTTGTGTGTGTGTGTGTGTGTGTGTGTGTGTGTGTCTGTCCTAGTTCTAGCTCTTCTTTGAGATTTTGATGGGCTTTCAGGCAGGGACCATGTTTTCTTGGAGTACTTTGAGTAGGGGCGACAAACCTGTTTTGAATACAATACTAATTTAGTCCCTTTATGTGACAGATAGACCTCCTGCTGCAGAGACATCTGTATCTATTTTTGTAAGAGATACTTGATGTTCTTAGCATTGGAGTTTTGTTCTTTTTTTCCTTAGGGATACTCTAGGCTTTATTCATTTATTCAGCAGATGAATAAAATGTTGAATTCTTATCGATGGCACGACACTATGTATGGCTCTTCCAACAACATTAGTTTATCTGAGTGAGGTAACACACACCTTTAATCCCAGCACTCAGGAGGCTGGCCAGCTTGGTCTACATAGCAAGTGTAGACCTGCCTCAAAACAAACAAACAAACTCCACCCACCTACCCAACACACAAAAACAAAACAAAAACATTGGTTGGGTTTTAGTCTTAACTTCGTCTCAGACAATTGTTTCTCTAGTGGGAGACTTTTTATTGCCACTAGGGTTTTGCATGTATTCCTTCCTCCTCTGAAAGAGTGTCATCTAAAAGCTATTGCCTTGTGAGTATGTATAAACACAAGCAGATGGGATAACTCTCCGTTATAGTTCATCCCATTCAGTGGGAGACAGCGTAAAACCTTAGTATCAGCAACTGACAAACTTGGTGTAATTTTATTACATAATGTCTGAACTGCCATTGCTGTACATGTTTACCAACTTTAAAGGAAGTCAAGGCAATAATTCACATTGCATCTGTTTTGGGTCCCCTTTTTAGAATTTATTTTTATATGTATGGGTGTTTTGCCTGCATGCATGTATGTGCACCAGTTGGATGCCTGGTGCTTGCAGAGGCCAGAAGAGGGTGTCAGATCCTCTGAAACTAAAGTTACAGAGTTGTGAGCTTCCATTTGGTTGCTGGGAATTGAATCTGGGTCCCCTTTAAGAACAGCCAATCAGTGCTCTTAACCACTGAGTCAAGCCTCCAGCCCTTTGTTCTTGGTTATTCTTGAAGCCATATAAAGTTTATAAAAGTAAGGAGGTTAAATATTATAGGAAGGTCATGAAGAGCATTGTTGACAATGAAGATTCCCCCTTCCCCACTTTTTATGTTGATACTAGGGGTTGAACCCAGGGCCTTCTACACAATGCTCTACCACTGTGTCTCCATTCCCATTTTATATATATGTAGCCCGGCTGACCTAGAAATGGCTGTATAGATCAGGTTGTCCTGAGATTTGTCTGCCTCTGCCTCCCAAGGGATTAAAAGCATGTGCCACCATACCTGGCTTTTTTTTTTTTTTTTTTAATTTTTTTTTTTTACTTTGAAACAAGGTCATACCAAGCTACCTGGGTTGACCTTGAACTTAGTCTGTAGCCCAAGCAGGCCTTGAATTTAAGATCCTCCTGGCTCAGCTTCCTGAGTAGCTGGGATTGTAGGTCTGCCTAGATGAGATTTTTTTCCCCCAGTTAAATGTGAAGATTGAATAAAAATAAATGTTTCATAAAATAATTTTTTACAGTATAATACTGTTAGGGGGAGGTTTTCCCGTCTCACTTATGTACTGTTTACTTGGTTTTTAGGCTGAGGCTACTGTAGAAGGTGATGGGACAAAAGGTGTTAAATTCAGCTGCTCAAGAAACTTGCCCTTGTTTCTCTGATCAGATATGGACAGAGTATCCAATTCTGGTCCTGGCACATGGAAGAAACTCAGTTTTTTGTTTTTTTTTTTTTCTTCCCAGAGACAGGGTTTCTCTGTGTAGCTTTAGAGCCTGTCCTGGAACTTGCTCCATAGACCAGGCTGGCCTCTGCCTCCAGAGTGCTGGGATTAAAGATGTGTGTCACCACTGCCTGGCCGAAACTCAGTTTTTTTAAGCTTGAGCTTTAAGTCTTTAGTTGACTTCCAGTGTGTGGGTGAAAATGTTCACATTCTCAGTTAGTGATCAGAAGTAGTTCTAATCACAATAACCTAGGACTTTGGCAGGAACTCTGTCTAATTTGAGGTACCTATTGGTATGTTCTTGACACAAACAAAGATCTTTTAGACAGAATGAATCATTTCTTTTGGTATAAGATAGTTTTAAGCTGGACGTTCTGCATACACCTGTAATCTCAGCTAAAGTAGGAGGATTGGGGCAACTTTGAGGCCAGCCTGGTTATATAGTGAGAGCCTGTCTGACTTCCCTCTCCCAAGATGAAGTTTTAAAATTAATGTCTGCATAGTTTAATTTTAACTTTTTATAGATGAATTATCATGCCTGTAGCTCCATGGTGATCTCCTGGCACACCCAGAACTGAAAAATGGGCGTTCTCCCACTAGACTCAGTGTCGTCTTCCATATCATCTCTGTTGTCCCTCATGTGAGATGCTCTTTTTGTTGAGAGAAAATTGGGGATGGGAAAAGTGGACAGTTATCTGCTGTATTTTAAGTTAACCAATTAGAACTGTAGGGAATGTTTAGTATGTGATATGCATTTTGTTGTATAAACTGGAGGTACTGAGTATAAGACATAGCTTCTGTCCTTAAGAAGTTCTATAGTTAGAATTGTAATAAAAATAAAAATATAGTATCTTAAGCATCCTTGTGAAGTAGAAGTATCTGTCATGTCTGATCGGTCCAATACACTGTTTACTAGTTCTATGTGCTTACTAAACACTTTAAATGCAATAAAGGAACTGAGCTCTAAATTTATAGTTACCCGTGCCAGTACATATGACACTGGGACTATCAGGCTAGAGACAGATGATGGTTGTTAAGGATGCTGGCTGTTAGCAGGCAATGTATTCACATTTTCTTTCATAGACTAGCAAAACCCATCTGTTTTCATCTTTGGGAAGAAATGCAGGCAGAACTTGTCTCTCTCTTGTAATTCAGCTGCTTGATAGGATCCTTAGCGGTTACATTCTGGTGCATAGGTGAGTCCATTCCTTTTTTTTAAAGTGCCAGCTTGATGGATGTTTGCCTTGTGGAATCATTGAGACCGCAACAGAATTAAGAAATGTGGTGCTTCTGTCCAGTAACTATTTACTCAGCACACTGGTACCCTCCCTGTACCCTGTTTTTCTCCAGAGAAACAGGCATAGCTTAACATGTACCTTTATTTGTATGTCCAGAAGTGTGTTGACTTAGGTTGCTTTATTTGATCCTTCTGCCTAGTTACTTTAGATAGGCACTTATAGGCACTTTAGATAGGCACACAGTGAGACAGGGAGACCAAAAAATAAATGTAAAGTGACTTGTCCAAGGTCATATGGTGAGTCACAGAGTTAGAAGCGTTGGACCTTGAGGCAAGAGGTAGATTTTCTTGTCCTAACATTGCAGTTACTTAATATGACCCTGAGCAAGTCATAATCTTACTTTGTCTGCTTTTTAATGGCTAGTGGATCTTCTAATTTAAGCATCTAGGGTAGTTGTTGGAATAAAATGAAGTATCATGTGAAAGTTCTTTTGGGAATTGGTCAATTACAGTTACACAAAGGCACATTATTATCAAGTCAAGATCTCTGGTAGTTCTAATCTGCTGCCTTACAGCTGATCACATCATTGG